AAGCGGCGCCAGGACGGCTCTGGAGCAGCCAAGGCCCCGCTTCGGGCACTGCCGGTCCCGGGGATTCGCAGCCAGGCCCCCCAGACGCTGCTGGCTCCCATTTGGTTTTGGGGGACGTTCAGCAACCCTTCCCCAACCCTCGAGATCCCAAACCAATCCGTGCCGCACCCGCAGCCCGTGCTGCCTCGGATCCTAGATGCTCTTTAAAGCACTGAATTCCTTTAAGCTAGGGATGAGTCGAGGTGTTTGTCGTTAAAATTGCTCTGCGTTAGAAAAAGTAGGTTACCATGTGTCATTGGGAACAATTAGGTCTAATTACAAGTCGCAGCTTCGCTACAAATGCTGTTTAATAACAAATTTCCATGACCCTTCGTCCGGGTTGTTTCATGCGGCAGGAGGTTACCTGCCGTTGTGGCTGGTGAGGCGCGATGCGGAACAGAGGGAAGGGCGTTTCACCCAGGATCAAACGGGCAGCAGTCGGCACCGGCCACGACTCACCGCCCCTGCTCTGAGCAGCCCATCACGCTTCCTCCGGCACGCAGCACGCCTTGCTGCCTATAGTTCAGCTAGTGGCTAGAAAGAAACGATTTATGAGTTTAAGCTTTAAAAGACTGCTCAGAAATGTGTGAAAATTGAATAGCCTCCTTTTAAACAATAAAAAGCAGCTGTTTCCTTCTCCGGCGCACCGGGAGCAAAGGTTCCCTGGCAGCAGCAAAGGTGCAAGGAGGCAGCGGCATCCTGGGCGTGAACGCGCAGCACCTCGACCCAGTCCCGGAGAGCAGCATTTACAGAGCACCGGACCGGGGCTGCAGCCCCACGAGGAAGCAGAGCAGCACGGAGCACGGAGCGGGATGAAGCACGGAGCACGACGGAGCAGGACGGAGCGCGGCGGCCGAGCACCCTCTGCCGGGGCGCGATGCGGCCGCGGCGCCGCACGGAGGTGCGACGAGCAGCCCCTCCTTGGCACACTGCCGTGTTTTGAACGGCCCAAACTCGAGCTCTGGGAAACAGCGAGGATTGAAAGTTGCTCTTACAGAAGCAGAGAGCTGCCACCCGCCTGGGGAAGCTGTGCTGGGTGAGAAATTCCACAAAGAGCGAGACAAGCAATTAGGGAAGGAAACGCTCCGCTCCTCCAGTGCAGCCTCCCCCCTCAGAGTGAAACTGCATCATTTCCATACAAATGGCTCTGGGAACCGCGTTCCCACACTCGGGTCTGTGCAGATAGCAGCATGTGCTCCCTCGGAGCGCAGGGCTGGAAGAGATCTATGGAAAAATAAACCCCTCTGTCTGTAGAATTGCTGTGAAAAGCAGTGGCCCGTTCTCCCCCGGGAAGCAAATTGCAGCCACGCTGCTGCTCCATGCGGGAGCGTTACCAGGATAAGTAACAGTTCTGTGGTGCAGAATTTGTTGTACCAAGTCATAGAACTGCCCACTAATTTCAGAGAAACAAAATACTCGGAACTATTTATAGCACTTAATGTTCTTAAATTAATTTTCCCTTTTCTCCATCTGTTTTTGGTGGCGGCTCTCGCAGGCTGTTGGGCCAGGAGGCTCTGCCGGCTGCGGACTTGTGTTAGTCCTTCATAGGCAGCCTTCCCGTGGAGCCCCCACGCGTAACAAGGACACAGGGCTGTGACACGGGCCCTCAGAGAGGGACGGTCAGAGCTCGGGGGAAGGAGCCGTGTCCAGTTCTTCAGGCCAAGACACGAGATCTCCTTTAAGGAACATGTTCCTGCAGCAAAGGGCAGTCGTCAGGCCGGTGCGGCTGCCCTGCGTCGTGCTCTGCTGCGTGCAGCTCCCTAGGAGCATTGCTGCAGCTGGAGGCGTGCAGCCCTGCAGCAGCACGGAGCGCCTCATGGCAGGGGGATTTCTGCACAGAAGCAGAAGCTGCTGTTGGAAAGAGGTCACGGAGCAGGAACGGAGCTGGAGCGGTGCTGAGAAGCCTCTGGACAGGGGGAAGTGGGAGGAGAGACACAAACATTGCAGAGAGCAGGAAAGACCAACACGCTGGGAAATGATTAATCCATCGCAGAGGCCCCTGCTAAGCGCTGGGACACGCTCAGTGTTTTCTAGCCGCGGGCCAGAATAGAAGCAGACATTATCCACTCTGGACCCTGCCGCTGCTCTCACATTGTCGCATCCAGCATGTTTTTAAGCACAGCCCATCCCGTCCCTGTGCCACATTCTCCTGTCCGTGCCCTTGAGCAGCGATCCAGCAAAACACCCCTCCTCTGAGCGGCGTTTCCAGCTGCCCCGCGTCCCTCCACCCCCAGGACACGTTTCACAAACAATCCGTGCCGGGGAAGGGGCAGCAGCCAAGTTGAAGTGCTGCTGTTCTGCATCCTGTTGTTTTCCTACCAGGATTGTTCCAGCTTCCTGCACTGTCTTATCTGGAGTCAAAAAGCCACGGCTCCCCTGTTTACCCACATTGTGCTGGCTCCACATTTGTGATCTGTGCAACAGGCAATATTGGACCTCAGAGAAAGACTTAGGACTGTTCCCGGGTGGGGGAGAAGGAACAAAGCGGTTAAAGGGCTTTCAGTGTCCATACAATGAGTGGCTTTATTTAGTCACCCTGCTCACACAAACCTCGGTAGTCACAGAGGGCTCCAGAGCCCCCCAGCCCTCCCTAACCGATACCCCGAGTGCTCCTGAACGTAGGAGAGCAGAGATCAGACGTTTGCACGCACAGGCTCTCCACAGAACCACGGCCACAAAGTGCTCAGGATGTTGTTTTTCCCCTCAGATATTCAAACTAGACACAGAAAAGTCAGGAAAGACGACGACCTTCACATCCTCTAGCCACGTTAAGAGTTTTAGAAGCTCCACTGAAAGGCAGCAGACTTAGCAACTATTTGGCCACGTTTTCGTCAAAACAGGTACAAAAGAAGCATATATTGTGCTGACATTTTAAAAGCTTATTTTGTAGATTAGAGCTGCGTGAAAGCAAAATCTTGTAGCTGTAAGGCTGTTCAACTTCCTCCTCAGCGGAGCACGCAGTTCACTTAGCTGTGGGTTATAGTAGTTCACTTTTTTTAAGCAACATTCTCCATAGAGCTCGCGCACGTCCTGCTTTGCTGCCGGGCCCTGCACGCTGCGTCCGTTATCAGATGGGAGCCTCTGCTGGAAGAATCATTAAAACGCTGCCTCGTCCAGGCACGCGGATCCCGGGAAAACAGAGCAAAGCCCAACCCTGCAAACCTAGGACTCAACCTCCGCATGTAGATCTTACCACTTGGGTGCATGGAGTAGCATGGTAGCCATCGAGATAGATTTTTATCAACTGAAGAGCAGGGAAATGTGCTGGTTTAGCCGCTGTAGCGGAATGCTTTTGTTTGTTTATTTGTATCTTGGTTGCCACAGCATAAATCCAAACTCATTCACATTTGACTCGCTCTTTGGACAGACCTCAACTGATGTAAACAGGAGAGCAGAGCTGAGGGGTCCTTAGTTGATGACCAGAGCTTTTATTTGGAATTCAATATCAAAAGAAAAAGGCTTTTCAGAAGAGATCAGGAAAAGGAAGACATGTGCTCAGAGATAAAGCAGGATAAAAGCATTCCATTCAAAGCGCCTGCGATAGGAATCAGGGAGTCCATCTGCCACGTCAGTAACTTCGTGGCCTTGTGACCACCAGAGCTTCCCGTCCTGTTACCCTTTCCCACAGCAGCCACAAGCACCAGCTACGTTTCTTCTCGTTTGACCAGCCCATTAGGGAGAAATTACTTATTTTCAACTCAAAATGCTGACTCCCCAAAGCGGCGGCAGCAGCAGCTCTCCCATGGGTTTGGGTCCAGCTTTGCAAGGCTTAGCAGAGCGGGCAGCCCTCGGAGGCGGCTTCCGGCCCCCTTTTCTGTGCTGCACGAGGAAAGAGATCATGGTAAAAGTAAAGCCTGCAGCAGGTCACACACTTCCTGCTTTAAAACTCATTTTAAACATTCCCCCCCCCCCCCCCAAAAAAAAAAAAAAGATTGAGGGATTTTTTGAAGGAAGGAAAGGCTTGGATTGAGAAAACTCTTTGAAGATCCAAGCTTTGCATGTGTTTAGCAAGCCAGCATATGCAAACCACGCAGAGCCCCCGAGGCCAAACGTCCCTGTGCTGTCACTAGAGGGGCGCAGAAAGGCACCCAGGGAGAGGGGCGGCTGCAGCGGGGCCTTGCTCCGGCTCCCCCAAAACGCAGCGCTCGCCTCCACCATTCCTTCTGCATTGGGAAGCAAAACCGACTTGGCGAGAGGGAATTTGACCTGCAATTTGCTCTTTGAAAGGAGCATTTAGTGCCCTGACCTGTCTCCTGAGGGAAGGGAGAGGATTTCTCGTGTGTTTTGCTTTTGTCTCCTTTCCACTTGGGGCTGTGCTTTGCCTAATTGCAGAGGAGTCGGTAATTGCCGGGGGTTTGGCGCTGGCCCCGAGGCGGCCTCGGTCACTGGTTGCTCTTCTGTCACACAGACATTGCCCTGGCCTTGGACCACCTGACCCGCATTTACGCTTCCAGACAGAGGCATTTCAGATTTTAGAACCTGGTAAATATGAATTACGTGTGCAGAAAATGCTCCAGTTAGGAAATCCTCTCTTTTTAAGATTTAGAAGTCAGAACTGTTAGAACCTCAGTTCATTTCACTGTTCCTGGTATTTCCCTTTCCGCAGTTTACTCCTGTTTCTGGAAACTCTAATTTGCCAACAGCCATCTGTGCTAATGCTGCAGTAGTGCAAGGGACCATCTTGGGAGGATTTTAAAAACTCGCCTATTTGCAAATTTCATATTTTGTTTCAGTTTTGGTGTGTTGCAATCCCACAAATATTTACACAAGTAGCATTTTCTGTATGCAGTCCATGTGAGCTTCACCGGATTGCTCACACTGCTGAAGTCACATGCTTTGCAGCAGCATTCACTGTGGGCCAAACATTGAAAAATTTGGCTGCATCTGCTAGCCAGAATTAAAAAAATATATATGTGCATTTATACACACATACACTGATTGTTTTAGGTTCTGAGAAAGAAATAAGGAAGGAAGGAATAGTCAAGAAAAAGGAGGAAGGAATAGTCAGTCACTGAGCTCCACTTGAAAGCACGTTAAGACAGGAACAGCAGCATGGTGAGTATCTGGCTATACTGCTCTTCTATAGCATAAGGAGGAGGTTTTCCAGCTCGGGTCACAGGCCCAGCTTGCAGAGCCCCGTGTGGCCCCACGGGGACGAGCGCTCGTGGGAGCTGCTGCTCTGCCGGGCTGCGACAGCCCCAGCTGCGCCCCGCGGTGCGGGCCCCGAGCCCGCAGACCTCGTCCGTGGTCAGACCGTGCCCACACATCACCCTGCAGGTCTGCAAGGCAGATGAGGCCTTTCAGGAACCAACAAGTTGTTTCCAATACTCCCTGGAAGATTCACTGGTTTAGAATTCTCAATCCATTGGGACTGGGCTGGAAACAGCACCCAGGCTGGTCGTGTTGTACGTTTTCACCCAAGTCATTCCCACCACTTTTTTTCTCCTCCTCCTCCCAGAACGAGAGCACTGGCGACCAAAGAGGCAGCGACATCAGCTCGGTTCGCACAGACCTCTCCAATCTCGTCACTTGGGCCCACACTCATGGAACCATATGCAGTCAGATCCCAGCCCTGGAAAACAGGCAGAACTTGGGCCCTCCTAGCAAGGATAATTCCCTTCTGTGGATATGTGGTGTGGGACACGCATATCACTGGTCTTGTGGAAAGCTCTCCTTGAGAAGCAGAGACGAGAAGGGAGCTGCAGAAGAGAGAAAGAGGTCTCTGTCCTATGAGGTGGCATCAGGGGAGCCCAGTTTACGAGAGAAGAGGTTCAGGGTAACCCCATCTTTTGAGAGGGCCAAAGGAGACCACAGGACCCCAGGGTCACGTAGCAGATCTCCAGAGGTCACTCCACACAAGGATGATGCTCTTTACGTGGCGGGTGAAGCACCAACACTCAGGAGGAATGAGAGTGCGCTCGCTCAGAAAAACGGGAGATCCACGAGGTCCCATTCCGCAGCCGAGCAGCCTGTCCCAATACCCAGCGGGGAAGTCAAAACCGGCCTACGTAAGGTGAAGGTAGAAAGCCATGAAGACCTGCAAATCATCTCTGATGAAGAGCAGTTTGTCTCCGATGCAGAAAACCAAATGGAGAGGATCAACTGGAGCGTGCTCTCGGAGCTGCAGGTCAAAGGAGTAGCTGCCGAGGTAGAGCTGCAAATGCATCGCAACTGGAAGACAGCCCTGAACGTGCAGACAGGCGCCCACACGTGTGGCTGTGCCCCCACGGAGAAGCCACCCGCAGCTCCCTGCCTGCAGGAGGCTTCGGAAGACGCCAGCCAGAAGAGCCTGGAAAGCAGCTGGAAGTTGCTTCCTCTTAATCCCACAGAGCCCAAAAATGAGACTTCTGAAGTAAGGAATTCCTCTGGCTCAGCAATATCTAAAGAGCATTTCAAATCCGTTCCTGTTTCCGACGCTGAAGCAAAGGCCCAACAGGAGTTGCCTTCCTCTGTGGCATTCTTTGAGTTTGAAGCCACGGTAGATGGCCAGCAGCAGCTCCAGCTGAGCTCTCCTGAGCGTGGCACGTCAGAAATAAGCTTAATGAGGAACTTTGCTGAAATCCCTATTCAGGAGGCTAATCCACTAGGATCTCAGCACGCACCTCATGTTTCAGCCTCACTGAGTCCAGCAGACAAGAACTTGGATCATCCCCCATTGTCTTCAGAGAAAAGTAAGAGCCTGCAGTTTCATTCCTGGAAGGGTTTGGGGGTGCATTTGAATAGCTGCCTTTCCAAGATGTTCGGGGAGGGCAATTTCTCCCTTACTGCCCAAATCCGTCTTGTAGCACGCGGATAAAGGCATCTCACTTGGAGCACACTGCTTCTGCTAAAAGGGACTAAGAGGTTCCTCCTGTAAGCAATCAGCATTTCAACAGGCAGTGCCATTTACTGAGGTTTATTTAGCAGTGGGTCAGCTTTAACTACCCATTTGGAGTGCTTTGGTCTCTCATTTTACTCCATACAGAGGCACAACTGCACAGAATGCCTCTCCTTTCTATTTTTAAGATGTTATTAGACTATTTCTTTAATTGACTACATGTATGCCCAGAAGCTCCTGAGGATTCACCTGGGCATGTCTGTGTAATAGCTGTTTCTGCCAAGATAAATCACTTGTGGCTCCTGGGAGGCCTCCCCGGGTATTGATTTACAAACTGCTCGTCTCCTCACACAGCGCTGTCCATAACCACCCCAAAAAGCATCCATCTCAGTCCAGCTACAGGATTTTAACGTAATGACTGGACTAGCTTGCTAAGAGCACCAGTTAAAACCAAAGCATTAAAGAGATGCATGAACGTCCCATTATCTCTGATCTCTTTGTGAAAGAAGGGTGACCGTTACCCTGCATCCCCTTATGTTTCATTGATCCCCTTTTTAGTTCTTGCTATCCACAAGGCTCTGTCTTCTCTTTCAGATGTGCTGAAGAAGTGGGAGAATAAGAGAAGCCGCAACGCTAGCGACATAAAAATGTTCAGGGACTGGTTGGCCTTGCATTTCCCTTCCGAAACGCGCGAGATCTTCGTCCTGCCGCCCGAAGACTTGGATGGCTACCTGGCCTCCTTCTACAGCAAGGCAAAGAAGCAGAACGGCACCGAGTTTTCTGCCAACTCCCTGTACTTCTTCCAGAGCAGCATAGACAGGTACCTCAAGGATCACAAGTATGAGTACAACGTGGTGAGAGGGATGGAGTTCAGAGCATCCCAAGAAGCCTTAAAACAAAAGTGTCAACAGCTAACACAGAAAGAGAGGGAGAGAGATTGGCATATTCTGGAGAACCTGACAGATAAAGATGTGGAAAGCCTTCATAAAAAGGGGATAGTGAGTCACACACACCCTGAAGGCTTTTTGCATCTCATGCTTGTGAATATCATTAGGGGCTTTGGGGCCACCACGCATAACCAGAGTCATAGCCTGTATTGGGGGCAGCTTGTGCTGAGAAAGAACGCGGAGGGGCTGGAATACCTGGAGTGGAGGGAGGAGCTGGAGGCAGAGGCAAGCCCAGGGGAGCCAGGCCCTTGTGTCTATGCCAAGCCCGATAATCCCAATAACTGCCCGGTCCAAGACTACAAGGAATATGCCAAGAGGCGGCCGCCGGACATGCTGCACGACTACGACCCGCTCTACCTGGCTCCCAAACCCCTGTGCTCCGTCTGGGACCAGATCTGGTACTGCAGGAAGTCGCTGACAAAAGCCAAAATGGAAAAGATCATGAAAGTTATCATCCAGCAGGTGAAGGGAACTGAGAAGAAGCATAAGAAACAAAAGTGTTAATTTCTGCTTTGCCACTTTTTGTAAGTTTTAAAGTAGCTTTTGAAAGGTTCGCATGGCAATCATTAGTATAGAGGTTGAGAGACCATCCCTGTCCTCTGTTCTCTTGTAAGAACATGAAGTCATCTTATCACCCTAGTTTTCAGGTTAAGAGAAAAGCTTCTATTATTCTTTCTATTCAATTAAATTGATAACTCCATAAATGAAATACAAACGTGAAACCTAAGATTGTCATATTTAATCCAAATTAATATTATTCCATATTAATGAAATTATATTAAGAGATGGTATGGACAGGGAAGGGGCAGCAGTTGGATCCCTTGGCTAGGAGCCGCATTCATTCGTTTCCAGGGCCGGGCCCTGCCAAACTGCCTTGGTGTGGAGCAAATGGGAACATGTTCAACAAGGTTCATGGCATTTCTCTTAGTGAAAAATGTTTAGATTTAGGAAGTTGTGGTAGTTAAGAGTTATTTAAAGAAAAAAAAAAAAAAAAAGAAAGGTTGACAGCACTGCAATATTTTGTTAGTAACCATCTTCTCCAAAGTGCTAAATACAACCTGACAGATCGGTAGCAGCACCTACCAGAGCCTTTCTCAGCTACTCAGGTACTACTCATATATTCTGTTTCAATGCGGGCAGGCTTTTGGGTGGAATTGTTGCCACATCTCAATAAAGCGTTTTCCTCAGCACTGTCTGCGTGTCCTGAAGAGCCGCCGCAGCCCCGGAGCAGGACAGGGAGACCCCCCCGAGCGGGGCAGCCCCGGCCACGCCGCCCGACCCGAAGCACCCACCACCCCGGGGCTTTGGCGCCCTGCACGGGGCTCAGCAGCAGAGGGGGGCCCGAAGAGCAGAGCTTTGGCTGCGCCCTGTGCGCTGGAGATACGGGTAGGGACAAGCGGAGCGGGTCGCGCCCGCGCTCACACGCCACTGATAAGGCGCATCCCCTGCCCCTGCACACCCACCCTTCACATTCACAGCATTTTTACACTGAGCGTTCAGCTCGCTGCACTACAAGCGAGGAGCATCCTACATAGGTCTGCCCAACTAACCAGCACCAAGCATTTAATTAATAAAATCAACCAGAAAACTATGCTGCTTTGTAAAACCGAGCACACACATTTTCAGAAATTCACATAACTTCCCCATTGCATATCTTAGCAGCTCAAACTGCACCCATTATTTTAAGTAGTTGGCAAGTTACCTCTTGCCGGCTGACAGCAGGAGCGTCCAGGTAAGAAGGTTTCACCCTTTTGCAGGCTTACACCCTGTGAAAGAAGCCGAGCAGGAGCCAAAGGGGTGCTGGTGCCCAGTGCCCTTCTTTATTGGGTGTTAACGACGGCCAGGTGGCAGCTGTGAGCCCCTGCACCTGGCAGCCTCCTGCAGAAGAATCTACAGGTTAACCAGGTTTATTTATAATGACTGAAGGTGGTCACAATGCGATCTTTGCAAAATTAAATAAATTTGCACACATGTATCTGGTGGAATTTCGACTGTCTCTGCACTCTGCTGCAGGGCCACACAGGAGCTAGGGAGAAACACTTCAACAAGCACCTGAACCCAGCGTTTCCTCTGCTCGTGTCAAGAGCCAACGTTGCCAGGGGCCGAGCCGCAGCGGAGAGGAGCTCGTGGCCGAGCACGGGAGCGGCGGCTCCGCGTCCTGCACGGGGCCACCGGCCCTGCGGCTTCGGCCTCCTTGGAGGCCACCAAGGCCCCTCGGGAGACGCCGCCTGCCCGGCCCTGGCTGGCGCCGCAAGCAGCCCTGCGCTCCGTGCTGGGCTCCGAGAGGCACCGGGAGCCACCTAGTGACAGGGCCACCGCGGGGCCACCGCGCGGCACCCGCCGGGCACCCGCCCGCATCGCGGCTCCCCTGCGGCACAGACGCGGGCGCCGGGACCCTCCGCGCGGCACCGGGCGCCCCGGGGGCAAACGGGTCCCGGTGCGGCCTCCAGCGCCGCGCTGCTCCCGGGGGCCCTTCCTTGAGCGGGCATTCGGACAACAAAACAGGAGAGAAAGGAGCGGGGCAATTACGAGTCTTTAATAAATTAGCAAAATAAACACCAGCATTAACATACGCATGTGTTGCTCATCGCTGCGGCTCCACGGATACAGCGTTAGATCAGAACCCTTGATTTCCCAGCCGGGGCTTAGCCGATCCAAAGGCCCAGGCGCCCTCCCCGGCACCGCCTGGGGCCGTGGTCCCCAAAACCTACAAGCACTCGGAAATGAAACCTCTCCCGCGGAAGGCAGAGATGCAGCTTCTCGGGAGAAAGGACTTAAATTACCCTGTGATTTCTGCTCATTTACGTCTCCTTGCAGAAGTGATTAAAAGCAAGAGATCTGCTTTTCCCCCTTTCCCAAAAACGTAACTCGCCCTCAAAGGGAAAGGGGAAGCGCGTTTAATGCACGGGAGCGATCATCCCTAGACGGAGAAGGGGCAGGATTTGCGATTTGCAAGTCTCTGATTCCCGGGAGCGCCAGGCTCCGAACAGCTCGGGGCTTTGGTGGCGACTGCGTCCCAGAGGGCCCGAGCGGGGAGCGGGGCCGGCGCCCGCGGCCTCACTCGTCGTCCCTGATGTACTGCCCGGCCTCCCAGCGCCTGGCCATGTCGCTCTTGTGCCGGATCACTCTGGTGCTCTCCACCACCTGAGGAACCCAAAACACACATTTTTACATAAATAAATGAGAGATCTGTGTTTGTAAAGGATCTCTCCTCGCACATCATTCCCTCCCAGCCAGAAATCCCGGGTGTCAGGTCGGGACGCTCGGGAGCAGCCTCAACACCTCGTGGCTCCTTGGCCACGGCTGCGGCTCCGAGCCCGGTTGGCTGCTGCTCCACCGAGCCCAGGCACCGGGAACACAAGCGGGATGCGGCCCTGCATCCAGACGTTCGGCCGCTCTCTCACCCCGGGACGAGGAGCAGCGCGTCCCCGGGTGCGGAGGCGGCGCCGCTCAGAGGACCGGCCGCGTGGGGGACGTTACCTCCGTGTTGATCCTGTCCACGGGCTCGATGCCGGCGTACTGCAAAGGAGGGAAGCGGTTGGGGGAGCAGGGGCCCTGCAGCGCGTGGGGCCGGGGCGTGCGGGGCTCCCTCCGCGCCGGGGCCGCTCTCACCTTCCCGTCCTCCTTCACGCGCCGCCTCCGCTCGTCGAAGGGGCCGGAGCGGCCGCTCTCGAGGCCCTCGGCGCCGCCCGGCCCGGCCACGCGCAGCGGGGTGAACGCGGACACCAGCGCCAGGACTCCCGTCTGGTGCAGGGCCGGCGACGGGAGCGGGGACCCCGACACCGAGTAGCTGCCGCTGGCCCCCGAGGCAGCTGCAAGAGAAGGAGCCGCTGGGCGCGAGGAGCCCGCGGGACCCCCAGCCCCGCGGGGCCGTTCCCACGGCCGCCCCGGCCACCCCGGCCCTACCTGAGCTCTGCGAGGACAGCGGCGAGCGCGGGCGCTCCTGGGCCGCCAGCCGCCGCCGCTGCTCCTGCAGCTCCTCCTCGCGCCGCAGCTCGCTCCGGATCTCCTCCTCGATGCGCGCCGATGCGTGCGGCTTCCAGGTGCGCAGCGAGTACTGCTCGTCGCGGCCGGCCGCCCCCTCCGCGGCCCTCTCCCTCCGCGCGGGGCTCTGCGTCCCCATGCTGTCCACGAAGGAGACGCGGGGCTTCCAGAAGGGCAAGGAGAAGTATTCCCTGCGCAGGACACCCGCGTCCACGGGGCGCGGGGTGGAGCCGCGGAGCCTTCCTGCCCGGGAATCCTCTCTCGCCCAATTGCTGGCGCCCACGGAAGCGCCTGCATCCATCTGCGGATCATCCCGGCTCCTCTCGCCAGCAGCGGCCACCAAGCGTGGCGCGTTGGCCTGGAATTGGGTGGGATTCACCTCGTAGCCCGGGCTGCTCTTCCCTTGGGCAGGGCCGGGGCCGTGGCGCGGGGCGGGCTCCGGCGCGGAGCTGCCGCGGGGCGGCGCCTCGTCCGGCTGGAACACGCGGCGCCGCTGCTCCAGCTCCTGCCGCGGGCCCCGCTCGTAGCTCCCCAGCAGCCTCCCCTGCCGCTTCAGATCCTCCTCGCGCTTCGTTTCCTGCTCTATTTCCCGCTGCACATAGAAGGAAGGGCGGCCTTTGTCCTTCCCCTTCCTGCCTGGAAGCGCGGACAGGGACACGGAGAGGAGCGGCTTGGTGTGGATCTCCACCAGCTCGCTGCTGGAGCTCGGCCGCGGGATGCCCCTCTCCTTCCAGAGCGTCTCCTCCCTCTCCATGGCCAGGCGGATTTCCCGCTCGATGGGCGTCTCGCTGCTGCTCGGCCCCTGCTCTGGGCCGTTGCCGCCGGCCCTCGAGGGCGCGGACGTGTCAAAGCCCTCGGTGGTGCTTCCATCGCTGGCGTAGCCCGCGTTGCCCTCGGGGAACATCTCCCCCAGGCCCGAGTCCAGGTCATCCCTGGACGACGCTTTGCTCAGCCCGGATATCCGCACGGTGAGATAGGATCTTTCCACATCGGCCCTTCTCCCGTAGCCCTCTTCCCTCGCCGGCGCCCTGTGGGACGCGCTGTGCTCCGGGGTCCCGTTCCCGGCGGGCCGGGGCGCCGCGAGGCCACCATGAGCCCTGGACACCGGGGCGGCCGTCCCGGCGCTCCGCCACTCCTGCGCTTTGGTGCCCAGCTCCGGCTTTGGGGACACGGGCTGGTGGCCGGGGCTCAGCAGGGAGCCCGGGCTGCCCTTCTCCAGCATCAGGAACTGCTGCCGGGCCGCGGAGAAGTTGATCTGCTCCGTGTCGATATTTTCAGGGTCAACGGGCGCCGCGGGCCGCCCGGGGGAAGGTCTGTCGAAGCAAACAGCGAAGCTGGGCGAGAAGCCGCCCTTGTGCCTGCCGTCGGCGGGGCCGCGCGCCGGCACCGAGCTCAGCTCCTCCGCGGAGCTCCACTTCTCGGCCGTGGTGCCGCTCTTGCGCACCGCCTGGCTCCGGATCACCTCCCGCCGCTCGTCCTCGAGCTCCCTCGCCTTCTCGGGCGACAGGTTTGGGGGCAGCACCCTGCGCTCCTCCTCCTCCTCCTCCCCGTAGAGCTTGGAGGGCTTCCTCTCGCCCCTGTAGGCCCTGAGGTCGTACAGACCACCCGACCGCAGCACCTCCAGCCTGGTGTCCCTGTCTGGGGACGGCGTCCAGGCGTCTTTCCCTCCATCGAGGAAGTCGGAGGGGGACTTGGACCCGAATCTCCACTCGTAGCCGTTTTCCGCTCTCTGCAGCCCGTGCCGGGAGGGGCTGAACACGTCGTCTTCGCCATCAGCGCCCGAGGTGCCCAGGGAGCCGTCGCCGTAGTCGAGCCGGGGGGCGGCCTGCGGGCTCTGGAAGACGAGGTGCCTGGTGACTCGGTCCATCTCCGGGGGACGTCACCATCCGCTCGCCGCCGCCTTTCCGGGGCTTCTGGGGCTGCTGCCTCAGGCTCCTGCGGCACCCGAGACCTTCGGAGCAAAGGCGGGATCCCACCGGCCCTTCAACAGAAGGAGGAGAGACGTTGGGAGACGCACAGGGAGAGGCCGGGTGTCCTGGAGGCACCTCCGGGACCTCCCGCAGGTCCCACGGACAGCGTCCTGCTGTCCCCAAAGCACCAGCGGGCTTCACTGGGATGCACCGGGAGCACCAGCCCGGTGGCAGCAGCGGCAGGGCGGGTGTCTGGGAGCAGCCAACGTCACGGCCACTCACTCCGTCCTGGAATTCCCGCCGGCGCCGGGACAGGGAGGAGGCCCGGGGAGCCGGGGCAATCGAAACAGGGGACACCATAAAGCTGCTTCCTGGCTCGTAAAACGGGGGGACTTTAACCCGGGGCGGGTGCGCGCGCGGGGAGCGCCCGCGGTGACCTTGGCGGCGCCGCCGGGAACCGGGCGCGATGGGGACGGGGCGGCGGGGGGC